AAGGGGGGGAAATTTTTCTGGAAATGCAGCCTAAGTATTTTCCCGGACAGAACAAATCTGTCTAGTTTGTCAAAATTCATCATGAAATTTGAACTTAAATCTGATTTATTATAAACAGGAATACCTAGTATCAACCTTGAAAAGATCATTATTTTGAAAAAAAAAAGTTTAGCAGGCAATGAAAAAATGAGGGCCTGTGTTGAAATAAAATTGGAAGAATGGCATTACTTTTTAAAAAATTTATTTGAAAATGTGTTTAAGAAATTACTCTTTAGAATTCATTGCAGCATTAGTACTAAAATTCATAAAAATTGAGTTAAAGAGTAAGTCATCAATCTGTAAATAGTCATTCCAGGTAGTTCAACATCAGTTTCCTTTAGGGACAAATTTAACTGGTGGAAAGGGGCAGGCAGGAGAGTGTTTCTGATTTATGAAAAGTTAAAAAAAAACTTTGTAAGTTGACAAAATACTATTGTCAAACTTATGGAAACGGAATCATAATTTTTTGTCCACACATTGATTTTATGTTTAGAAGCTAAAACTTACAGAAATATGAGGATAGAATTTGGGTGTTCTTAATTATGTTTGATACTAAATTACACCCTCGGTTCTTAAAAACTGAAATTCCTGGGAGTCCCCCCAGACTCTTTCAGGGGAGTGTGTGGAATCAAATTATTTTCATAATGCTAAGACATGTGCCTTTTCACTTTTATGAATGTTTACAGGAGTTTTCTAGAGGCTGCATGGCTGGGTGTAACAGATCAAATGAAGAAGCAAGTATGAGAGCCCCAAGTATGAGAGCCCCGATGTTTTCTACTATGTACTAAAAAGATCTGCAGAAATGTGAACTAAAGCTACTCTTTAAATTTTTATAGGAAAAAAAAAAAGTTACTTTTTATAAAAAATATTAAAAGTTGCTTTAATTTTAATTTCAAATAGGATAAATATCTAAACATGAGACTTACATAAGCAAAATCTTCTTTGTGGTCCTGAGAGTGTAAAAAGATTCTTTGACCAAAGAAGTTTGCAAATAGCTGTACTATAGTTTAATTAGTCTACACTTTTCAGTACCATAGCGACTAGCCTTATGTGGTGATTGAGTATTGGAAATGTAATGGATAAACCAAATTTTAAATTTTATTAAAACATAAAAACTAAAACAGTAGAAAACTTCTTTACCATGTACATTTCTTTTACATGTTGAAATGGCAATGTTTTTGAATATACTGGGTTAAATGAAAGGTACTGATTTCACCTTCCAATAACTTTTCTCAGTGTGGCTGCTGGACATTTAAAAATTACATGTGGCTCTTGTTATCAGACAGCTCTACTTTAGAAAATTATTTTATTCTCTTTCCGTTCTTAACCTTATAATGAAGCTGTAGAAAGCCAAAGGGCACAGGTAAAGATTAGAGGCCTTTACCTTTCTTCCTTTTCAGTGTGTTCATTTGTGTTCTTTACTCATCTGTTAGTGTTACAGTCCTGGGGCTTGAGAGAATAAGCTGTGGTGAGTCAGGTGGGGTAGCCGAGTGATGATGGCCTTGTAAATGTTAGTTTATGGTCTTATAGGGGAATACCACTATCACCTAGTGAAGTGTTTTCTAATTTTTTCTTATGGCTCTCAAATTGCTGTTAATTTTTACTTTTGACTTTTAAAAACATTATTATGAGCTAGGTCTATTGCCAGCATTCTCTTCTGCAAAGCTGAGAGGTACGTCTCTTGTCAGACTTAATTACCAAGTTTGGTATTTAGTAACAGCTGTTGAGTGAGTCTGGAATCGTCTACCATACAAACACCAGTTGATTAGAAAGCTAGAAATGGAACAAGACTCTTACCAATAGTAAAGGAGGGCATAAGCAAATTTAATTTTTGACACTGATTAAAATAGTTTTGAAATTTATTTGATACATTTAGTTTTTCGAGGAATGTTGACCAGAGACCTAACTACTAGGAGTAACTAGATGATGATGTGTCTGTCAGATAACTTTTTGCTTCATTGTTTCTATTTTTTAAATGAGTTTTTTTTTAAACTCCCTTAAATTTAATACAGAGGCCTAGAAAAACACCAGTAAATCAAGTTTTAAGTAAGAGATAATAATTCTCAACTGCCACTTCTAAGTTTGCTAACTTTGATGGCACAACACTGTCTTATTTACCTTAAGAACTGTGCAGAATTTTAGTTGTATTTGAATTATTATTTAGTTGTATTTGTATTGAATTCAAATTGTATTTGAATTACTGATAAGTATAAAATAGTATTGAAAAGTTTTCAATTATTACAGAAACTTGCATAGGAAAAATATTTCTTAAATTTCTGTTCCCAAAAGTACTTATTGACTTAGGTCAACAAAAGAAGAGAAAAAGGAGATAGTGTTCCCTTTTAACAAAATGGATTAAGTATTCATGGAAACTGTCAAATTATTTTGCATCTTTGTTTTGAAATATTTTACTCCTGTTTATCTTTTTGATACTTTCTGAACTATTTGTATAAGCTTCATGAGGCCAGAGATCCTTCCACACTTGTATCTCAGGTTTGTAGCACAGGGTAGATCCTGAACAGCCATTTATTGACTGTACATAGAGTATAAGATCCGATCATTAGTTTATAGAGAATTTATGCATGTTTAATATTCTCATCCTAAATTTATAAGTGAGTTAATAATCTTTTCCTTAAATTTGTATGTTTTCTATTTGTTTTACTATGTACATGTACAATATTTTAGGGAAATAATATTTTGAAGTTAGGGAAAAAGGGGAGGTTGAGGTTGGAAATAAGAGCTAGGAAATTTTCACTGACATAACTAACATGAAATCATGGTTTTGGAAATATACCTCAAAAAAAAAAAAAGAAAGAAAATATACCTCAAGCTATGTAGGAATTTGGGGCAGTATAATATGTAACTGTTGGGAAATTTTGTTTATAACTTAAAACATTAAAATATCTGGTAAGATTCTATTGCTGTATTATTATGAAATACTCAGAGCTCTAACTTTAATATGGTAGAATTTTAGGGTGTGTCTTAATACAATTACATAAGGAATTAGTTTACCCAGGGTAGTTTATTAATAGCACCTCAGACAACAGCTAAATTGCAACACAAGCCGACTTTAAAGAGAATGAAGTTCTTAGAATAAACTTTAAAACCCTGAAACTGCTTCTTCCTAAGGTTCTTTAGTGCACATGAGTAGGGAGGTAATTTGAAAACAATATTCTTGAGAATGGTAATACATTTTATACTTACTAATGGTAAGTTTCTTAAAGTTGAGCTAGAAGGACGGATTGAATCCTCTGCTTCAGTGAGGCTGCAGATAAGAGTGAGCAGGGTCACCTAAAGATAGATTTACTCAGAGGTTTGGCTGCCTCTCTGGAGCCGTTGAGCTTTGAGCAGATTTCCATAAATGGAAAGAGCAACTGGAGAGACTCGGTACCTTGGTGGAGAGTGTGGATGATGTGCAACAGGTGGTAAAGCAGTCACTGGATTTTTTATAAATGCTCTCCAAATGACTGGTGTTTAAGGCTGAGGCCTTAGCACTTGGTGAATTTTGAAACTAAGTGAAAAAATCCTTTTCAATTAAAAGTTTACTAGAAATAATTTTAAAAGATTTGTGTCTTTAGTGTGTAGAACTTGTGAATTTATAGTGGTTTATGAAATTTGTATATTTCTTTTAGTCCTTGATAGGACATCTTGAGAAAGATGTATCAAATTAGAAACTGTTAAACATATTCGTGTTTCAGAACCTCTTAAAAAGTAGAATTTCAGTATTTCAAATCAGGATGTGAAATTAATATATCATTAGGATAATGAGTTTATGCTTGGATTGCTACTTTTCTGTAAGGTCTGTCAGTTGTCCTTAACTTTAATAAATAAAAGAAATACTTACATACCTACTATATGAAGAATCTATGTTAGGGTCTATAACAGATATGAGGATGACTAAGACAGGCCTCCCTTGGACTTCCTTGGCAGTCAGTGGTTAAGGCTGCACACTTCAACTGCAGGGGGCATGGGTTTGATCCCTGGTCTGGGAACTGAGATCCTGCATGCCATGCCGTGTGGCTAAAAAGGCAGGGGCGGGGGTGGTGGGTGGGTGGGTCGGTGGGGCCAGGGAGCTAGCCCTCCCTGACCTCATGGAGCTTATAATCACATAGAAGTGATAAGAAGTTATCACCATTTACTAAATTCTTCAGGAAATCACTGCATTTAATTCTCAAAACTGTATGAGGTAAGTAATATTACTGTTTAGTGAAAGAGGAAACTGGACCATACAAGGATTTAAATTACTGGCCTTAGGTTACAGAAATAAGTGGCAGAGACTAGAACCAAAGCTTTTTCACAAATAATTTAATCAGCAAAGCATAAAGTAAGTATTAGAGGAGTTACAAAAGGTGATAGAATTAGAAAAGGCTTCATGAAGGGTGGGAATAGGAACACTCTCTCTTTTTTTGCCTTTCTAAATTTCTTGGGTGAAACCCAGCAAAGGCCAGTGAAATCTTGAAAAGAAAGCAGATAATTGTGAAGAAAATTTCTGAGTTCTCCAGTGCACTCACCAGGAGGGTTTGTAAGAATTGAACTAATTCATTAAAGTAATTTAGAAATATGAGTTTCTGACTGATTCTGCTAGGTGTTAACCCCCGATTTTAGTAGCAGTATGTTAAAATTACAATAGACTTCATAGGACTGTTAATCTACAACTATTCTTCCCCCCATCCCAAGTTAGTTTTGGCCTAAAATTGATACAGAGTTCAAATTTCAAGAGTCTGACTTTGTTTTCCTTTGGATAAGATTCAGAAATTTCTAATTAATCTCAATAGTTGCTTTATAATCAACATACATTTTATAAGTGGCAGGTTTGTTGTTTTAGTTTTTAAATGATTTCTGTAATTTGTATAGACTAATATGTATTAATGGCTTATTTTGAGTTATGAACTAAACGTGAGCATTTAGTTCAGTAAAGTGTTCAATGCATTTTTATTGAGTGGACCTTATTTTCCCTCCAGTGGAAGCATCAGTTCATGGCAGTAATGCACACTGTACAGATAAGACAATTGAAGCTGCTGAAGCCCTGCTTCATATGGAATCTCCTACCTGCTTGAGAGATTCAAGAAGTCCTGGTATGTGAACTGTTCTTTATTATATTAAAGATATCCTATCATTTCATGTATCTAGAATGAAAAATTTTTTTTTAATCCAAGGGAATTGTTGTTCTCAAAGTCTATTATACATAAATACCTGTGACAGCAGTAACTGGTCTTTTTACCTGTCAATGTTCCCAAGTCTTAAATGCTTCAAATACTTAATTTTCAAAATAATTGATACAGAAGGTGCCCACTGTAGACAGATAATGTCAAATTGCTGTTTCTACTATTGTGTCTCATTTCCTTAACTCTGGGTACATGAGAAACCCTTAGAGCATGGCTGGAGAATGGTCGATGGGAGCTCTTGCCACCCATGCCCACTGTGAGTCCTTCCTTCAGCGATAAGGGGCAGCAGCTCTGGGACCACTCCCTGGAAGAGAGAGGATAGTGTCCACCTCTCTTCACACTCCCTTCAGGCTTCAGGCTTTCCATTGGTTTTGGTCTCTTTTTACAGATTGCCTTTGAGAATCTTTTTGTCCCTAATTTTAATGTCCAAATGTTAATTTGACTTAATACGGTAAGACTGATGCTTCTTTTAGGGATTTACAGTAAATACTAAGATCAGCTGTACTTTTTTTTTTTCAGCTGTACTTTTTAATTAGAGTAGTAATCCCGTGTTATTCAGGGATATGAGAAGAAAATTAGTGCATATTGGTCAGTGTATTCATCTATGGTAGTATGTATTAATTGAAATGGAAGTGTCATATCCTAGTTATTCAGGCACATTGAAAGGAAGCCAGAGCAACGTTATTATACGTAATAGAATACTAAAAATATGTATGCACCATTTCAGTGACCCAAAGTATTAGGGACTGTTGCATTAAATAAAATATTGAAAGATGATACTCATTTGGCTATAATGAAAAACATTGAAAGGTGATACTCATTTGGCTATAATGAGCAGGTTTTTTTTCATATTTAAAATGAACTGTAGGAACTTCCCTGGTGGTCCAGTGGTTAAGACTCGGCCTTCCAGTGCAGAAGGGGCAGGTTTGATCCTGGTGGGCAAACTTAAGATCCCACATGCCTTGGGGTGTGGCCAAAAGTTATTTAAAAAAAAAGAGAGAGAGAGAACCATAAGTGCTTACTTCCACTGAATATGCTTTTATCATTTTAATGTTATACCAGGTGTGTGTTTTACCTTGTTAGAGAATAATGATGAGTAAGTAGAAGGAAAATAATTATTAACTCACTGTTATACTGTTTTATTTTCAACTGTTTTCCCAATTGTCAAAATGATACAAAGTCTTCTACAATGAACTTGAAAGTACCTAAAGTGTGAAGCAAGGGGGTTGACTACTCATGATCTCCCCCTTTACCCAGAAGATTAACATTTTCTCCAGGTTGAGTTTCTTTGCATTTATTTACTTACATACTTTAGATCGTATTGTATATTCAACAAATTAACCTCAAGTTCTTCCCCTGCTTTGATGAATTCTTAATAACCTCACCTTTACTAAACATTGAATTGTCCATGCTAAGAGGCATTAATGGGGGTGGGAAATTTTAATTTTTCAACTTTTTTTTATAGTGGAAGTGTTTGTCCCTCCTTGTGTATCAACTCCAGAATTTATCCATGCTGCTATGAGGCCAGATGTCATTACAGAAACTGTAGTGGAGGTGTCAACCGAAGAATCTGAACCAATGGATGCCTCTCCTATTCCGACATCACCAGATAGCCATGAACCAATGAAAAAGAAAAAAGGTAGGGTGTATTTATAAATTTCTGGGAAATTGGGTGAAATTTTTTCTAGTATCTTTTTTCTCCATCAAGGGACATGGGAAATACATGCTATATTTATGATCGATGTTATACTGATTAGATATTCTCAAAAAATTGAGATTGTTAATTGTGTCTTTTAACATGTTCATAGTGTTTAAAGGAGTTAATATTTGAGCCCTAAAAGTAGTAGCCCAAAAATGAGATTATAGTAAGAACTTGATACACAGAAGGGGTCCATGGGGTCGCAAAGGGTTGGACATGACTGAGCGACTGAACAACCCAGAAGGAAGATCAGGGATTCACTACACATTTTTCTACTTTCTGATCCTTTTAGGTACTTGGTTACTTAAAAGAAAAGTATTCTTGACTCTGTTTTTCATAACCTTATCTTCTTACTCTTTTGTGGGCATTAAAATAAAAGGCCCAATTTTCTTCCCCACTATCTTTGGCCTTAAAACACCAAGATTGCCTGTAGGGAATTCTGAGGGGACTAAACTCACCTTTGGGTAAAGAGCATTTCCACTTACTCTTTGACTGCTGCTGAAACCTGTGTTCATCTGATCCTGGGGGTTGGGGGTGGTGGGGGTGGCGCACAGTGCTCCATCCATCTCTAGCATCCTGAGTGGGTTCTTTTTTTCTTTTCGAATCAAAGTTAAAACTTGAAAGAAGTGAGATTCTGTGTAAATGGGTACTCACCTAATTCCACTTTTTTCTCTGCCTCTTTCTGCACATTTTAGAGTTGGGGGGAAAAAACAATTAAAGGCGAAAAATAAGGGGAACAGTTGTGTGAGAAATAATGGTATTATCTAATCATTTATTAGGTAGCAGTATTTCAGATTGCTGTGATGTTCACAGGTGTGTGCCTCATTGCTTTGAGGGACACAACAAAGAATAACACAGGTTGCCTTCCCTCTTATAGATTATATATATATTTGAGAAAGGCATGGATGAGAGAATTTAGAAGGAAGAATTACTTTCCACTGTAAATGTTTAAACAAAAGACATACATATAAATAAAACCCTGTTTACCCACTGCCCACTGTAGCCTTTGACTGGTTGTATCTTATGCAAACTGTTACAAAATACCTAAGAAAATTTTAGATTTAAATGAAAAGGAAAAAGACTATGAAAAGCTGGGAGTATTTAGGAAACCAAGATCTCTAGATAAATAGGTTGATCTGCGTACATGATAGTATGGTATAAACCAGGAAATAATTTGCCAATTTAATACTGATCTTACGTATTTGAAAATAGATGGTCTTAATGAATGACAATTTAAAAATTACATATAACACCACAAATTATTCATTTGTGGTTAAGTACATTTGGGACATATAAAGTTAGGTAGGTTATTTTTAATAGTAGGGACTTATTTTTATTTCCAGACCTTTTAATATACTAATGTGCATTGTAAATCTCTAAGAGATGATTACGTGCAGTTCTGAAAGTTAATTTGACTGTAGAACCCTTTTCCTACTGATGAATAACCTATCTGTCAAGTAACATGATTTAGGACATGCTGCTTTATAAGAAAATAAGCCTTTGGGGACTAACCTTTCCATTAAGGAGTTGGGCTTTTGTGCTTGAATTTAGGAGACAGAGAAGATGTTGGTCTTGCTATTGACTGCTTTGTATATATAAATATTATTTAAATTGAGAAATTAAGCTTATTTTAAATTAGGAGACTGGTGAACTTTGTTTTAATTTTTGCCAAAACATACTTCTTATTGATTAGAATTACCATGATGAAATCCTAGAATATATAGCTATGCTTTTTCAAATATAAATTAGGGCATTTTAATTTAGCTGTAGATAAATGTTGTTAATGAAGAGTAGAGACATCAGAAATCCCAGGTGTATGACCATCACCAAATCAGTAATACTATACTTAATATTCCCAGTCTCTTTGTTTAGACTTGGCTCACCTGCCAGCATTCATCCTCAATGCTGAGGGCTGAACACAATACATTTCAGAAATATGCTTTCCTTACTGTAGAGAAGTGTAGTTCTTGCTTTTCTGTTCATTGTGGATACTGGACTGTCTTGAGTGTGGCTTAGGGCAGAAGTGAGTGAGGAGTAATGAAAGGGCACAAACATTTCTTAAACATATGAAGCAATTACTTGGAAGGTTTTTTTTTTTTTATCCTTATAGCTGCACGTTGAAGTGGGGAAATTTATGCTTAAATTCTGGTGAATTGATTGGCTCAGAGCAGTAGAGAGTGTTTAAAATAATATTTTTTACTTTTCCTCATTTGAGCTCAAAGGGCTTCGCAGATTATCAGATCTTCTGCAATAGGTAGGTAAAGCTTTTTCTAACAATTCTGTAGAACAGAAAACAAAAGTTTATACTAGAATTTGTTTCCATTGCTACATTATTGGAAAAGGTTAGCAAATTGAGACTGTGACCATGTAAATAATAGGTTAGTAGTACCTGACTTGCCATGTACATTGATTTTACTATCAATTAATGCAAAGCGGGGTCGCAAAGAGTTGGACACGACTGAGCGACTGAACTGAACTGCTGTAATTTATATTGTAGAAGTGCTTTTAATATTCCTTTTAGAAGCAGCTTTTATATACACAGTATATTAATCCATAAATTAGTGTCTAGTTTCATAAATAATGTGTTATCAAAAAGCCTGCTATCATGTTTCTGTTAGTTTTCCTGTTTTCCATGTATGGTTTCAATATCTTCTTTTTTCAGTTGGGCGTAAACCAAAGACCCAGCAGTCGCCAATTTCCAATGGGTCTCCTGACTTAGGTATAAAGAAGAAACCCAGAGAAGGAAAAGGTAATTTGGGGAGGGCTGTTTTGTAGGTGAGATGGATTTTTTTTTCCCCCAGTCAAGTACATTTGTAGGAAAATTACTTCTAGTACATGCACATGCCCTGTAGTGCTGTCTTGGATTGTAATTCTTAATCAGGGGTGTATGTGCATCACATGGGGAGCTTTTTCAAACTTATCTCTGCCTGGTCCTTACCCAGTGAGGTTCTGTAGGCATATAGAAACCGTAGGGAGTGGAGCTGGGGCTGGGCAAGCATTTGGATTTGGAAAAGGCCCTGAGTGCAGTCTGATGCACACTTGTGTTTTGAATGATGTGTGTATATTTACACCCATCCTCATGGAGAGTCAAATGGAGTCACTTATATTTGAAAAGGTTTACAAAACGAAGACTTCCTTTCTGATACATACTTTTCTTAACTGATAGAAGCAAGGTGAATTTACTTTTCCAACCAACAAATTTCAGTCATGTCAGTAAGGATGTCTAAACAAAACTTTGATGTATTTTTAAAATATTGATGTGTATATTGAATTTGTATATTCTCATTAAAAGCAAAAATAGCAATAAGCTTTCTACAGTCTCTGCTCTCTTAATTTGTTGGATTAAGTCTTTAATAAAAAAAATTAAGTCAGTAAATCTACCAAGAAATTTGGTTAGATTTTTAAAAATCCAGTTACGTAAACCTTCATTTACTTACGAACTGTTATTCAGTTTGGGACAAGTTTAGGATAGTTCTATTTTCTTCTCTGTCTTTGGTTGTTTTACATTCCTAACATCTTAGGTTTTTAATTTGTATTAATTTTTAATTTGTATTGAAAACCTTAAAACTTTATTAGTAGTGTTAGAAATTTGAACTGTAAATATACAGTTATTACTGTTTTTAAAATTACTCCCATCATTAATGGTATCTCTTATATTGAAAGACCTTATGTTTTAACACTGGAAAAAAATTTTGTGGTAACCTATTTTTACAAGTCAAAATCATCTTTCATTAAAATTTCAGTTTTGTATTATTAAACCTGAGGCAATGTGTTACTGTGTGAAGATTAAGGTCATTACAGTCACACCTGGATTAAAAAATCCAGTCAGTGCTTCATCTTCTGCAAAATTATGATGTCTGCATAGACTCTGTGAACTACCTTGTCTGATGAAAAAGGCTTCCTGTTCTGAATTCTGTTTTCCTTAAAACCAGAAATAGAATTGTTCATTTTAACTTAGGGATGGTAACTGGAGTGAAGCAGTTAAAGATAACCTGAAGAATGTCAATGGGTCTAACTATAACTAATTCATTAGACGCAGGAGCATTCAGACCTCTACTATGTACAAGGCATTTTCTGTTGTACAAAAATTTCTTCTAGAATGAGTTCTTATTATCTCCAGGTCATAAACAGAATAAAAATTCCCAACTACACCTCTTGATTCAGCTGAGACTGATGTAGTTGAAAGTTGCGATTTAACACTGAGAGTTTTTAGGTATTGATACTGATGTAATAGGTCTTCGGAGATACAAATGTAATAACATTGTAAAGTTGAAGATTAATCTTTTTAGGTCAAGAGAATGCACACAGGGCTCAACTATGGGTTAATGGATTTATTGAATTTTCGGGGAAATTACAGGATGAAGATGAAATGATAGAGGAAGAGCATCAGTGTTTAGATTGAGTAGTGGAAGCCTCCCCACCCCAAAATCTGAATTTTTGAGGATAGTAAAGGGTTAATGAGCAGGAGCCTAGAGATGACCCGGTGGTTCAGTGGTGGCATATGTATTCTAATCTTCTCAGGACTCTCTTCTGTTCTCTCATCAGTTTAAGAACCTCCGTACCGGAGGGAATAAAGAAAAACAGCAGCCTGTCTTTAGTCTTCTCATAACACTGCCCACTACCCCTCCCCACCCTTCCAAAAAAAGAAAAGAATGATGCTCTCTTCTCTTTGGGACTAAGTTCCTTATTTTGCCTACCCACATTCCTTCCTTTTCTTCTGGTATGCAAATCTTAGCCATCTTCCAAGACTTAATGTCTTACAAGTCCACTTTATTTTCACTCCTGAGATCCCAGACATTATTTTCTGTCATTGATTTGAAATAGAACTGCATGGCATTATGATATAGCTTATATTGTTTCAAAACTGTTATTTCTTGAATTGTCATTCACTAGACAACACAGTTTGACACTGTACAAATGATTGATAACATAGTCAAGTATTTAATGGCAGACTCTTAGTACATTTGTTCTTTACCAGTAGTAAGCTGATTTTTTATTCAGCGTAAGTAACTACTTGCTTTTAGTTATGTTGATGAATTTTTAATCAGTATCTATAATTTTTTTCAAAGGAAACACAACCTATCTGTGGGAGTTTCTTTTAGATCTACTTCAAGATAAAAATACTTGTCCTCGGTATATTAAGTGGACTCAGAGAGAAAAAGGCATATTCAAGCTTGTGGATTCAAAGGCTGTCTCTAAGCTTTGGGGGAAGCATAAGAACAAGCCAGACATGAACTATGAAACTATGGGACGAGCTTTGAGGTAAGAACACAAAGAGTTTTCAAAGAAAACTTATTTATTTCTTAATACTGTCTGTTAATACTTTGTGTGAGAGTGCTCAGTTGTGTCTTAACTCTTTGCAACCCCATAACTGTAGCCTGCCAGGCTCCTCTGTCCATGGAATTCTCCAGGCAAGAATACTGGATTAGGTTGCCATTTCTTCCTCCAGGGGATCTTTCTGACCCAGGGATTGAACCCAGGTCTCCTGTGTCTCCTGTAAGGTGGATTCTTTACCACTGAGCTACCTGGGAAACCTTATATTTAAAGAGAAGCTCTTAAAATCTCTTACTATTTATAGCTTTTAATTTGGGTGGATTTTCTAGAGGAAATTCTTGGATCTGGAGGCAGATGAAGAGAGAAGTTTAGTCTAGATGGCTACAATTTGAACACTATTGGAAAATCCATTTGTGGAAAATGTGTGCCTTTAAGAAAATTAAACCCAAACATTGTACAGTTTCCAAACTGTGAATTTGTTTTTTAGTTTCTGCAAATTTGTTAAAATTTTCATATCACAATAAATCCATTATAAGTTTTGTCAGTTTGAGGAACCCAAATACATAACTTTATGTATACATAAACTTTCTGTGTACATAACCCAATTACATAACTTTGTAATGTACACGGCTTAAGGGTATTTGTAAATGAACATAGTTTATGTGACAGTATTCACATATGCCACAAATTCATTTTTACTAAATATGGTTTAGGTAATTTTTCCATATAACACCAACTTGCTTTTATAACCTATGTAAATCAGAACTAAATTTTTACCAGTATCTATAAAATCTAGTTGTCCCTCAGTAGTATCTGAGGGGTGTGACTCCAGAACCCTCCTTGGATGCCAGAAATTCACGGATGATCAAAATCCCTCATATAAAGTGGGGTGGTGTTTGCTTGTAACCCACTTATATCCCCCATATACTTTACATCATCTATAGATGATACAATACCTAACACAGTGTAAATGCAATCTTAAGTAGTTGCTTTCACATGGCAAATCCAAGTTTTGCTGTTTGGAACTCTTGTGGAAATTTTTTCTCCTTGAGCATTTTCAATCTGTGGTTGGTTAAATCCATGGATGAGGAACCCATAGATATAGAGGGCCAACTGGACAGCAATACATTCTGTATTCAAGTTAGATAACTTCCTTTAATAAAAAGTGAGCGTTTAGCTCATTCACAGATTTCAGGGTTATAGGGTAGACGGTGCCAAGCTCTAATTTCATAGCCACTTCACATTCTTGGCCTTTCGAATAGAGTCCCACCTTACCGCTTCCTAGAGTGAGTGAGTGTTTCTGTTAGCATCTCTTCATGGTATTTTTGTTTGGGGATTGTGGGGGGGCAAACATAATATACTTGACTTATTTAATACTTTTTCCTTACAGATATTATTACCAAAGGGGTATTCTTGCAAAGGTTGAAGGACAGAGGCTTGTATATCAGTTCAAGGATATGCCCAAAAACATAGTGGTCATAGATGATGACAAAAGTGAAACCTGTAGTGAAGATTTAGCAGCAGCTACTGATGAAAAATCATTAGAACGAGTATCATTGTCTGCAGAAAGTCTCTTAAAAGCAGCAACTTCTGTTCGTGGTGGGAAAAACTCAGCCTCCCTGAACTGCTCCAGAGCAGAGAAGGGTGTAGCTAGAGTTGTGAACATCACTCCCCCTGGTCATGATGCTTCATCCAGGTCTCCCACTACTACCACATCTGTATCAGCAACCGCAGCCCCAAGGTAAGTGAGGGAAACCAGTAGTGGTAATGTGTTTAGTTTTTAGAAAACTCTGGCACAACTGGGATGTTCCTTTTTTAATATTTGCATTCTAAGAACTGACTCTTTGTCAAGACTTTGAAAAGTGCTTGGTATTTTTAAATGTATTAATTAAAATATTCTTATTAAAGTAGATGTCTTTTCTTACTTGAATTGATTTTTATGATTTTATAGATGGAATTTAATGTAGGCTTTTAAATATATATATAAATATATTCAGCTCATGTTTAAATATATTCATCTCATGTTATTTCATGCTGTAAACTTCAGAGATTTTCGGCACATCTGTAAAATTGGGTTCACTAGTTTTATATATGTTGGGTTTGCATTCATCTTTTTCTCTCTCTCAAAGAGACCTGTTTGATAATTTAGTGTTACATATAATCAAATTTATTTTTTTTAATCAACCAGGACAGTTCGTGTGGCAATGCAAGTACCTGTTGTAATGACATCATTGGGTCAGAAAATTTCAACTGTGGCAGTTCAGTCAGTTAATGCAGGTGCACCATTAATAACCAGCACTAGTCCGACAACAGCAGCCTCTCCAAAGGTAGTTATTCAGACAATCCCTACTGTGATGCCAGCCTCTACTGAAAATGGAGACAAAATCACCATGCAGCCTGCCAAAATTATTACCATCCCAGCTACACAACTTGCACAGTGTCAGCTGCAGACGAAGTCGAATCTGAGTGGATCGGGAAGCATTAACATTGTGGGCACCCCTCTGGCTGTGAGAGCACTTACCCCTGTCTCAATAGCTCACGGGGCCCCTGTAATGAGACTATCGGTGCCCCCTCAACAGGCATCTGGCCAGACTCCTCCCCGGGTTATCAGCGCTGTCATAAAAGGGCCAGAGGTTAAATCAGAAGCAGTGGCGAAAAAGCAGGAACATGATGTGAAAACTTTGCAGCTGGTACAAGAAGAAAAACCAGCAGATGGAAATAAGACAGTGACCCACGTAGTGGTTGTCAGTGCGCCTTCAGCTCTTGCCCTTCCTGTAACAATGAAAACGGAAGGACTGGTAACATGTGAGAAATAAAACAGCAGCGCTCCCGTGGACATTAGAATGTTAGTGATAGTCCTGGTATAAGTATTTGCAAGGATGTCATCGAAAGAAGTCAGAAGACTTTAAAACATCTTTAGTGCATTTAAGAAAACAATCAGACTTACTGGAAATAAATTACCTATCCCATGTTTCAGTGGGAAATGAACTACATATTGAGATGCTGACAGAAAACTGCCTCTTACAGTAGGAAACAACTGAACCCGTCAATAAGAAAAAGGACTGAAAGGGACCAAGCAACTCACTACAATATCAAGTTACACTAAGACTTGGAACACTAACATTCTGTAAGAGGTTATATAGTTTTCAGTGGGGAGGGATTGGGATGGGTGATCTTGTTGTTACATATAGCAATTTTTGATGCATTTTATATGCATACCAGCAATTATTACTGTGTTCACACAGAACTCACTTAACTGGTGCTATGTGAAAACTGCTAATATAGGTATTTTAGAATGTGAATTGAAGAATGGATCCAAAAGCTTCAGAAAGAGGTTAGCAAAAAAGATCTAGTGTGTTTTTTTTTTGTTTTTATCATATAGCTTAAGCTGATTTAAAACAAAGGCCTTAGACTAATTTTCGGTTTTCTTTATTGAAATAAGCTAATGGCTTGTTTGTGTAAAGCTTTTTTATTAAAAGAAAAATTTTAAAAATCTTGTACCTAGCACAGTATTGTTATAGAATTTACATGTAACATTTTATATGGTAGTTTAAGTCTGTCAGTTTCTTAATTGTGGACAAATTAACAGTTGGCTCTGGCCTTTTGCTATAACATGCCTGTTTGTCACTCACTTAGCCCTGGCATCTGTGCAGACATATCCGTTTCAGTTCTACTGTCACTTGGAAGTTAAGGCTCAGCATGATTTTTGTCAGGTAACTCTTAATACCTGGAGTTTTCTTTCTTCCTTTTTTTTTTTTTTTTAGTTGAAGTTTAAGAGGGAAAGTACCAGTGTTCAGATTTGAACTATAATAGTTTGTATATTCAACATTTGAAGTATATTCTATTTTGTTGTACTCTTGTTTCAAAGTGTATTCAAGTAGGTTTTCTGAAATATAGAAATGAAATTTACCTTGTGTTTTGGTCTCTGGTGATATTTATAACAATATTCAAAAGCTACTATATAAACATGTTTTAGTTAAGAAGTAATAGAAGTCCTATTTTTCCTTCCTAGCTGCTGCGAGAAGAAATTGTTTTGTTCCATTACATTAATATTTGGCAAATAACCTGCATGTTTCCACTTCCTAATTACTGTCATGTAATTATTATAATGTTCTACTTACCATAATGAATTTACTATTTTAGTGTTGGCCACACTTAAGTAATTTATATTTGAAATCAGACCATTTGTTTCTCAATCACACCTTTTTTGGGTGAGGAAGAACAAATAATACTCTAGCCCTTTTAGGAACTGGAGGGACCAGAGGAACATCATTTCACAACAAGCTAGGTCCCGTAACTCCACATAATAATGCTGTTTCTACTACAAAGAAAAGTTGTCTATTTTTACATCTTTTGGAAATTTAAACTGATACTTAATATCTGTGGCCTTTAATTGTGCATTTGGTTAGACACTACTTAGGTTGACAGATTTTTATAACAGCTCCCTTTGTAATCTTTTATCTTTTCCATAAACATACTTGATGGTACTTTTTAATAAAAGCTCAAAGAAAAACTCATTGATTCTTATCCCATTTGGGGTTAATCTCAAACTCTACCTCCTTTTAAAACATTTCCTAAATATTTCACGTTTCAAAATCTGTATCATATGCCTTGACACATAACTATTGTCTTTTCTTGCACTGCAGTTTCATTTTTTGAGTCATGTCTCCCATAATATTCTGTTAGGGTAAAGAAGTCACGTGAAAAAGCATTAGTCGTTCAGTCGTGTCTGACTCTTTGACGCCATGGACTGTATAGCCTGTCAGGCTCCTCTGTCCATGGGGTTTTCCAGGCAAGATTACTGGAGTGGATTGCCATTTCCTTCTCCAGCAGATCTTCCCAGCCCAGGGACTGAACCTGGGTCTCCTGCATGCAGGCAGAGTCTTTACTGGCTGAGCCACCAGGGAAGCCCAGGAAGTCACATGGAAGACAGCTAATGAGACGTATCTTAAACGAGCATTTCTTTCCCAGCTGTGCTGTATTACTAACTGGTTTTCATTAGGCTAAGCCAAGGCTGCTTGCTTCCCTCTACCACTCCACCTTACATCTTCTGTGTCTCTTGCAGAGTAAGTTCACCTAAGGTCTCGATTTAGAAATACATGTTGACAGTATGTAATGATGAGAGTATTTCTTCTGATGGGAATTATCAGTGGTATGGCTTTTAATTGCAACCCTTCTGTTAACCATTATAACTTGTAGTTGCATTTTGTGTCCACTGTAACAAAGAACCACATAGCAATGACTTGATGCCACTATATTTTCCAGTCTGGCCAGGCTTTTGAACAGTGAATCAGCAGTCAGCCCATTTATTCCTTGGGTCATCTTCCAGCAACAGTTTCAGCCTTTCACCACCGTCCTGCTTACCAGGCAGTATACCTCTTTATAGAGAAAATCGAGGTCTGAGCTGTGAACTCCATTTCTGGACCACTTGCTGTGAGAGCATCTCCCCATTCCAGCATCCATCCTGAGCGCCTGCCTTGGGAAGGGGGCAGGGGTGCTGTTCTCTTGTCCTCAGCACCTCTTCCCCTTTCACAGCTCCTTGGTTTCTTCGTTCCAGCAGCCCATGGTTCTTCAGTAGCTTGCAGTTAATTCTGGCTTAGAAAAAGTTCCCACTGAGGTCTCCAAGAGTCCAGTAGTCAAGTCCAACAGATACTTCATTTTTCTACGTGCTCAGCCTACTTCTTAAAACTCCCCCCCGCTTTTTTTCTTTTTTATTAATTTATTATTTTTTCCCCATTTATTTTTATTTGTTGGAGGCTAATTACTTTACAATATTGTAGTGGTTTTTGCCATACATTGACATGAATCAGCCATGTATTTACATGTGTTCCCTATCCCGAACCCCCCTCCCAAAACTCCCCTTTGGTTTCCCATGATACCACTCTTCTAGTGTACTTTGTGCCTGACTTCTCAGTCTTTTGTTTTCTGTCAGCTTTCCCATTTAAAGGTTAGTACTTACCATGGGGTTTTTTTCTCCATAAAATAGTTGTATTTACTATTATGATTTTGCTTCAATATAACTGTTCAATAATCTCATCCATGCATATGGTTTTTACTACCAAATATATTGTCATAGGCTAGACTTAAAGTCTTAAGATGGCTTTAATTACCTACTGGTTATTTCCTCCTGAATGTCCAATTGAACTCTCTTCTAAAATCTGTCCTCTTAGCTCAATAAATGACACTACCAGCAACCAATTACTCTTGCCTGAAAGGCCATTCTAGACAGTTGATTTCCAACATCCAGTCTTTCACCAAGTCCTATTGACGGTTCATTCTAAATAAATTCCTTTCCCATCCTCCCTACCTTACTGCTTAGTCTTCTCAAGCCTCTCTCTACTGTTTTCCATGCTACCAGTTGAGTTTCCAAAATGAGTATTTTCAACTTTGTGACTGCATTAAATTCTTCAGCGCATCTTGTGCTAAAAAGATAAAATATCCAAAGTCCTTTGATCTGGCATCTGCCTACATTCCCAGGTCTTAACTCTTGACTCTATTTTAGGCATCTCCAGGCTATAGACCTACTGACATGTATTTTCCCAAATATTTCAGGCATCTGTACCTTTGTTGACCCATGCCTCAATGGCCTCTCTCTGGACTGCTCTTTCTTCACCTGAATTTGAAGTGAAGGTGACAGACATCAAAATATTTCTGAAATAGGCATGGAAGCCATTAAAGGCGGGGGTTAGTCTACTCTGCGTGAACTCAGAGAAGATTGAAAAACATCAAGTATATAAAGGGCTAGGAGAGAAGAAAAGTAATGAGCAAGTGGAGATCAAGGACTGTTCACGGACAGGCGACAGGACAGATGAGGTCACATTTCAGTGTGTGCTGGGAACATTATCAAGTACAGGAAGGACCAAGTGAGGAAGGTCAAAGAAAAAGCCGCCAGAATTGATGTAGTGATAACAGGGGCAGCTCCACCAGGGGATGACCTGAAACCAGATGGAAGGGGCAGAGCACCCGGTTCACGCTCAGCCGCTGTGGCCCCTGTGTGCAAGTGGGGCTTAACAATAACAATGTCTGGGCGGTCCTTTAAGCCTCCTGGTCTACTTTATGTGAGGACATTACATATGTGATCTGTATTTTGGGGAGGCAAGGGGAACCCTACCTGCAGTTCCCCAGCCATTCCAGTAACTCTCTTTTGTAGCTTTTCACTGTTCATAGTATGAGTCCTCTGTACTTGTGGTTCACCTGTCCCTCAGTGCCTTCGTTGTTAGCATCCTCCACAGTTAAAGCTTGGCCAGTCCTCTTGAGAATAAGACAGTTTCCCCACCTTGGCAAATACACTGATGTGCCTCCTGAATCACACCAGAAACCTTTGAAACACGAGTGTGGCAGGGAGACTTGCAGGCACACTTTGTTTCACTATGCTGCATGTCGCAGATACTCTGCTTTATACAAATAGAAGATTTGTGACAATACTGCTGTCAACATGTGTCTATCGGCATCCTTATTCCAACAGCATTTGCTCAGTTTCATCTCTTTGGTGATATTCATATTTCAAACCCTCCTTCAGCAAAAAATAACTGACTCACTGAAGGCTTACATGATAACTAGAGTTAATAAAGTATTTTTAAATTAAGGCACATAGTTTTGTTTTTTTTGGAGAGAATATTATTGCACTTAATAGACTGTCATACAAATGTCACTTCTATGTTCACTGGGACACCAAAAATTCACATGATGCTTTATTTATTGAGATACTCGTAGTGGTCTGGAACCAAACCCCCAATATCTCTGGGTACGCTGTATTTGATTTGGCATACATCTGCTTCACTTTTTATATACCTGTAGCTATCTTTTTAAACACTGCACCTCAGCAGTAATGCTTTGGGTTCAGGACTTATAAATGATATATTACAACTTCCAAGTGAGAACTTAGAAAAACATGAGTATTTAATGCAAAATGCTCCGTAACAAAAACAAAACTCTAGACTGTAAACAGCAGAGTTTTTGGACACTGTATGTTTAAACAAAAACTCTTGCTTATTTTACAAGGTTTAATGACGTGATAAGTGCATGAAAGTTGGGTACTAAACTGTTTTACAGAATCTGCAAATTATTTGGGCTGTAGGACGTGAATTCACCAAAATACAGTGGTAACTTTGCTGCACATTGGAAGTCACCTGGGAAGATTTTAAAATACTATTGCCCAGGTCACATCCCATACCACTTAAATCACAATGTGTGTAAGGGGGAGCCAGGTATTGGTATTTAAAAAAAAAAAAAAACTCAATGTGATTTCATTATGCAGCCAGGTTTGGGCACCTCTGTCACAAATTTTACATTTAGACATCTGTCTTAATCTAAGCTTTTCTAAAACATTCAACAGAAAAAGGTAGTTTAGGATATTATATACTGTATATTTTATTGATTCTAAAGCTGTTTTCTCATTTTAATGTATAACTAGGATGAGTTTTTTTAAAACTCTTATGAAAGAGTACACTATGTTAGTACCTTGTCCTCTAAAAGAAATTACTTTCAGAAAGCTATATATTAAGTGCCACCAATGCTACCATTGTTTGAAAAAACACTTTTGAATTGCTTCTTGGAGTAGAAGCTAAATTTTTAAACATACTTAACTAGGGACACAGATGGTAAGTCCCTGACGGCTCAGATGGTAAATAATCTGCCCTGCAATTCAGGAGACCTGGGTTTGATCCCTTCATGGCAACCCACCTTAGTATTCTTGCCTGGAGAATCCCATGGACAGAGGAGCCCAGCAGGCTACAGTCCATGGTGTCGCACAGAGTTAGACATGACTGAGTGACAAACAGAAGGACAAGAATAAGAGACAAATTTTCCTACCAAGGAAGGTTTTGGTTTTAGAAATGGTAAAGTTACTTAAGAAACTGATGTGAATTAAGCTAGGTGCTGCCATACCTGGCAAAATGAAACATGGCTAAAGTTCACACTAGTTTTCTTGAGACCTTCATAGAACTGTATATCCAATCTGTTCCAAAATGTTTCAAAAATATTTTTGAGCAATTAACAATTGCCAGCAATTAACCCAAATTGTTTTGAAGTGCAAATCAGTTTTAATGCTTTTAAGAAACCCAAGAGATTTTCTGGTCTATTCCCTGTATTGTAAATAAACTAAAGTTCAGAAAAACTTGACTCAGTTTCAGTTCAGCTAATCAGTGGCAGACCCAGACAGAACTTTTTCTCTGACCTCAATCTCTGTTCCCTCCCATCTACAAAATGGCAGGGGTTGGGGTAAAACAAGCTTAGTGTCTGAGTAAGTCTATCTCACCATGCAGTGTGATCCCTGCTCTCACAAACGTAAATACTAAAATGCTGCAGAATTTTACTGGGTGTTCTCTTCAGGTTTACCAATCTTAAGATGTCAGGGGTAGCCCGTATCCAGCTTTCCATCATCTCTCCTGCCTGGTGTTTCCTCCCTGTGATGCAGGACTCTTATTGTATTTATACTCTTATTATAATTATACTCTTATTATACGTCCAGCATTCTAATATGCAAGTGGTCTACATCTAGAAGCCTGAATCTGCTCGATGTGGCAGTTTAGACTCTGCTTTAGATTAAAAAAGAAAAACTTTTAGATAGTTTATATATTGTAAGAACAAATGAAAGTCAACAAAAATAAGCAGGTGAAAGACAATGACATGAAGAAAAAGGCAGGACGGCAAAAGGAATACATACTACAGAATGGTACACAGTAATTAAAATCCAGCTATAAGGTTTGGTTTTGCATGTCTCAGCAGCCAAAGCAAATAGGAATCCATCCTGAGATTTCATCTTGGTTTACCAGTAGCAGCCTAGAAGCTGCAAGGCTTCTCAAAATATTCTGTCAAGAGGAATGGATGCGACTGCGTCCTAATGAATAGTTTCTTAGAGGTGAGCTTTCCACAGACATCTGGCAAACAACAGGCCTGGAGTTGTGGCTGTTGTTTCATCGCAACAGGTCAAAGTAGGGATGACATCCTCTCCTGAAATTGAATCACTAACCTACAACTTCAGATCTGCCTGGACAAATGGGGCTGAAAAAAATCTTACCACTCCCAACAGCCCCTCACCTATTTGGGTCTTAATTTCTATTAACACTATCTGCCCTTTCAAATGGAAGGATTAAGAGTGGCTTGTTAGGACATCATGAATATGTTAGGACATCAAGTACAGTGCCCTTTCCTTTTTTTGCTTTGAACCTTAAGCGCTGACCTTAACCTTAAACCTTTACTTAATGACTTACCAAAAATTTACATTATTGTTTTACAAATATCTCACAAATCTGAGATTGACAAGGTAGGGGTGATGCTGTATCTAAATGAGAAAATGGAGGCCCTCGAGTCACAGTGGTCACAGCTAACTCCTTTTACTTACAGCCCATTCTCTTCTACAGAATTTGCTTTTATAAGCCCAGCTCCAGACCTCTTGCCATTCCAGTATCCAACCACTCTAGATAAAAGCCTGCCTGTGCTGTATTTTTATACATGTCATTTAAAAAAGTTAAGAGCTCCTTATTCAAGCACATTCATTTTTTGGATGCCTTTCCAGTTGAAGTCAATTATGATTATTAGCATGTGTTTTTATTTTCTTCTTTTTTAGAATTTAGTCCCACTGGGACTTTGCTCAGATTATTTGGGCTTTTTAGGCCCAATTATTTTTTAAAATATTTATTTGGCTGTGCTAGGTCCTTCCTTGTGACACATAGGTTTTAAGCTATGGCATGTGGGATCTAGTTCCCTGATCAGGTATCGAACGTGGGCACCCTGCGCTGGGAGTGCAGAGTCTTAGCTGCTCCGTTACCAGGGAAGTCCCTAGGCTCCATTTTAAATTAGGAGCAGTTTTTAAGTCATATGCAAAGATCCTGGAGCCAAAATAAGGGACTCAAATGTTATACACACCATTATGCTTTACTATGTCATCCCTACCACCTCCTGAAATATCTCCTGAAATACGGCCATGGAGGAATAAAAAAATCCACTCTCACTGTCTTCAAGAATCCGTACAATTTACCTTCTAAAACTCTTAACAGTAGTCAAAATATCATGGGCTATAAACAGAAAAGCTGGCTCAAAAGGGACATAGGCATGGAATAAGAAACTCAGTAATGGAACATATTTTAGAAATTTAGAACAGAGATCTGTTATTTGCCATTATGCCTTCAGGTAACTGATGGTCCCCAAGGCAGAGCTGTCTACAAAAGAAAGACTAGAGAAGTAAAAATAAAGTGCCACCTAGCAAGATTTATAAACTACTAAAAAAACTTTACATAAAATGCTCACATGACTACATTTTCAATGAAGACAAATACAGATAAAAGCATACAAAAGTATGTGTTTAGCCTACGTCCACAGCAATACTGAAGGGTGACCTGTCAGTATTTCCAGGAGCCCTTTTGCTCAGAGGCATTCCCACCCACCCCCACCCTTCTCCCATAGCCTGTTAACATTTGAAATGGAAACACTTTTTTGGCTTTTATTCTCATCCAGATTTGCTTATGATATGGGTATGATAATTTCAAACTGGTGTGCTTTAGGGCAGGTAAACAGTATTTAATGCCTGTCCAAATCAGTATTCTGTTTCTCAATGTACAAATTCAGTCACTGTTAAGATCTGAACCAGGTGATAGCTGGTACAATGATATTTTGATATATATTGAAACCCTCATTTGTTTCAAAAGCATTTCCAATACCCGGAGGAGCTATTTTTGCAGACTCCAACCTTGTCACCAGTGATACCTCACAAATATAGCATCAGATGCTGCCTTCAAATACACAGCCACCTTTGTCCACTTTAAAATGAAGGTCTGACTGTCAGGGATTGTGTGGGTGCCACATTAACAAAATTAAAAGACCAAATTTATTCTCTATGCATTAAAAAGACAAGATATTTAAACACTAGCTTTAAGAGACAATTTATTAATCTCAAATATTTACAACTCACGGGTTAAAATATATTATTACCAGTGGGCTGTTTTCTGGGATTTCATTAGGAAGGAGTTTCACCTGTTAACTTTACCACTTTATTTCTGAGCAAAGAGAATTCCAGGTTAACTTTTTATATTCTGCTTTCTAGATGTTTTAAAACCAGTTACCTGGCCATCTTAGTAAATCTCAACCACAGCTTCATGAACAGACCAGGAATAGTTTCCCATCTCTGAAAAGAAGGTCCTACTGTCTTTAGCCACTACCACCTAACAGCCCCTAAATATATCTACTGTGCAAAAGCACATTCAATACAAATAATGGCAGAGTGACTGCAAATGAATACCAACAGCACTCCAAGGGAATACCGGAAATGTTAACAGTGACTAAATAATGAAGACTGGCCATGGAATCTCTTCAAGAAACACAATAATGGAGAACACAGAGGCATAGCAAAGATTTATGAAGAACGAATCAAGGGGAACTGGTATTTCCACTTAAATAACAAAACCCCCTCAAGACTAAATACCTCCTTTATACACTACTATTAGACCCCAATAAAAACATCTTTAAAGCTTTAAGAAAATTACTATAAATTATTCTATAACTTATGTTTTGCATGGTTTTAACATGTTCATGTTATAATTTAATTTTACATGGATATAAAAAAATAAATATTGCCATGCATAACTTGATATTAAAAAACACAAATAAATAACTTGAAATGCCTAGAGAAACTGTTCCTGCATACTTGTTAATTATGGGAGACTCAAGCAAGTCTACTATTTTAATATAGTATCCTCTAACAGAAAAAGCTTCAAAACAAGCCTAATATAATGCCCTTAAATGATCAACATGTAATTAATCCTAAGGGAAAGAAGAAAATGCAAAGCAATACTAGAGTGCAAAAACCTTTTTCGCTGAAGGTTTCAATGTGAGCTAATGGGGTTCCTTCCCAAGGGCATGCTGGAAACAATGAAAGAAGTGAGAAACTGGGAACCCTTCCTCAGTCAACTTATTCTATTTTAGTTTCCCGAAACATCCCTGGTTAAGACCCCTGCGATTAAAAAGACACAGACAAGTGTTTATAAATGTCCATCAGGGTTCCTCGTTGAAGCTGAAGTCACACACTAGGGACAGGTGGTCTGAAGGGTAATTGAAAGACGGTAGCCGGTTGGGTCCAATCTGCTCCTCGGTGAGCAGGTCCAGGGCTGACCGCACACTGAGCGCCTGCCTGGAGTACCAGATATAATCGAGCGTGTGCCGGCACTCGCCTGAGGTCCGGATCTTCCAGGTCGTGTACGGAGGTTCCGACTGCCCGTCAGCGCTCAGCAGCTTGTAGGCGCTGTTCAGATTGAGGCTGGAGGAAGCAAAGTGCTTGTAGACCTCCTCTGTGGGCTCTGCGTTGAAGTCTCCACAAACAATCAGGGGAATCTTGGCCCCTTGGGTGATGGTCTGCAGGTTTTGGAGGAGGTCGCAGCCTTGAGCTGATCGAAATCGCTCCCAGCCGGTGCGAGCCTTCAGGTGGGTGACGGCGACGCAGAGCTGGCGGCTGGACTCCTTGCACTCCAGGATCTGGGCGATGGCCACCTGGTTGGTTTTCAGCGTCATGGCTGTCAGCCGGATGTTGGCACTGTTGACCAGCTTGAATCGGTTTTGGAGGAAGAACAAGGCGCAGCCGTCGGGTCCATTGTTGTGCTCCACATCCAGACAAGGCGACCAGGGCTTGGGGAAGAAGGTGCCCTGATAGCCCAGTCTACTGAGGAGGGGCTGGAAGGTGTCGAAGTAGTGGTCCACCTCTTGGAGGCACAGGATATCTGGCTGGTAGGCAAGGATCTCTTCCAGGATCAGACATTTCCTTTCTTCCCACTTGAGGGCTTCGATAGGACACTGGACAAAGTTGTCTTTGCCTTCGCCAAGAGCTGAAATACAAAAGCCGGTCGGTTGTCAGCTGCTAAATACCTGGGGGTCTCCTTGGGTGTAAGGCCACCTAAGACCTTCACAGTACTTTCTCTGCTTCAAGTGCTCTGGGGGGATTCTCTTACTGCACTGACCTCCAAACTTTACCTCTTACCATCCACATGAAGCAAGGAATTGACTCTTTCATATTAAAACTATCTGTCTCTATTCCAGAAGACATAATAGAGCCACATATTCCAGGACATAAAACATTAAGTTTTAGCTTTAAACAATATTCTTGAATACATTTAGCCCTGTACTAAGCCTTTATAGATACCATAAATGACACCTATTTTGAACGGGCAACTTTTACCTCTATCTGGGAAAAGAAAAAAATGAATCCAAAATTTTGGAAAAGTCAGGGAGTATGCCCTTCTATTCCAGAAAAGGAGGGGGAAATGGTGACCCTGGTTTCCTCTTAAAATTTCAAGAGCTCCACGATCAGCACCACTACACAAAGTTGACTGACACCGCTGTTTTTAAACGCAGCAGACCCAGGAAAGGCGTCCTCTCTACCGCAACAAGTATCTCGAAGCACAGAGAACAGAGGCAACATCTCTGGCCTCAAACGATAAAGATGCGATTGGATGAGAATCTGGCCAGAGTACCCAGACCACCCCCCCCACCCCCCCCATCTCCTGCAGGAGATTCTACATCGCCCACTCGGTAGACTCAGTCTCTCCCTGGCAAACGCTATCTTAGTGCTGTAGACTGAAAGCTGCAGACAACAGAAAATTTCAGGCTAATGAGACCGGGGCCTTGAAATCTGGATGTGCTGGGAGACAGAAGCTGTCACTGAATACGCAAAGTCTACCGACACGTAAGAAGGAAATACCTCTGAATCGCTGGATTTATCAGTGAAAACCAAAGGACTCCCTTTCCCCACCTCCCCTTGTGAGAGCTCCCCGGCTCTAGCCGCCCCCCACACCCGTCTGACACCCCGCCCCCGCCCAGGCGGAGGTTCGTCGGGCATGCGCAGAAGCGGCGAGGCGGCGGCGGTACAGGCAGAGATGCAGCAGGCCTACCTTGGGCAAGGATGTTCCACTGCATGACCCTAATGGGAGGGTGGCTGCTGGGGCAATCGGCCGGCAGAGCCACGAAGTCCCTCTGGAACCGCGGGGGCCGGGTGTGCAGGACAGCCCTGCATTCCTCCAGGAGCTCTTTGGGGTCGATGGGCTCCACGTGCTCCGGGTCGGCGGCCACCAGGTACTCCGGGTGCTGGGACGCCGCGCTGCTGGTGAGTGTCTTGGCGAGAGCACTGTACAGCCTGCTCGTGCCGTTTCCCATGGGATACACTGCAGGGAAGGAGACATGGTTACACACTCAGCCTTCTCCTGCCTCTCTCCCGTTCTCACTCAGAGTGACCACAAGATAAAGCAGTTAGCGTCCACAGAAGCTGGGGCCGATGTTGCCACATTCATGGTCTATGGAGTGGACTACAGGAGCTCCCAGGTTCTAGCTTTCTAGGAGGACAACTACTTGAAATACCTTGATCTTTATGGCTTATTCTAACCTGAGACTTAAATAAATTATAAAGACAATTTATAGACACAGTCTTACAAAAGCATGGCTAAACAAAATTCACATTCCTTTTTCTATGTATTTTAAATGAGAACTTGAAGACCAGTTTTAAACAGCCAGATGTCAGAAAGCCTGGTTACTCCGAGATGACCTTAGAGCAGGCTCTTAGTAGGTCATCTACTCAGATCCCTGTTACAGGAAGAATCAGCTGGATTAAATCCATTTCTCATAGGGCTCTGGCTTTCTATAGGATTCTGTGAACATCACTGAGCAGTATAGTCTGCAATCTAATCTCTAACTGCCAGATTTTTAAAAAATCAGAAAAGAGGTTGGCGGTGGTGGGGGGAGAGATAGTTGGAGATGGGGGTGGGGTGGGTGGGGAATGGTGGTGCAGGAAGCACTTTCTAGGTCCATTTCCTGGGGCTTCTGATTCTTACCTAACTGGATAATAACTAGGGACGACAGAGCACAGTCTTCAACAAGTTAACATGAGGGGAGAGCTGTCTGTCACCTCACTAGGAGGCAGTTGATTGCTTTTAAAGGTCAACTTTGTTTTCTCTTCATTACAGTGTAAATTAGGCCAGATTCTGCTTGGAACCATATTTAAGATTCCTGGTTTGGATTTCCTGACCTCATCCACGTCCTTGCCTTCTCTTGAAGGACACAACGTTTTCTTTACAAAATACATTATTTGACAAGCTGATTGCACCTGAAACTAGCAAGCAATTGAATTCACCTTAAATAGCAGGTCACAAAGGCAAATTCAAGTGTTTACCTCTAGGATTTATCCTTAAACATCAAGACCAAGATGCAGGCATGCTCTATTATTCCTTTTCAATGACTCAAGTAGTTCCCCAATGAGAAAATGAGGCAAAGAAACACTAGTTTTCCCAATACACATTTCTGCGTACGAGCAACTGCCTGCAAGCCTGTTCTCACAAAGGCACATGCATGAACACGTCCACACACTTATTTCCTGGATGCCTGATATTCTTTTTTATCAATTTGCTTGCCTATCTGAGTACATGGGTCCAAAGAAATTTTCTTCCTGGCTGGTAGTACAACTTTGAAAATCTTTCTTCTGTACTTCTAGTTCAGCAAAAAGCAGTAAAAAAATACTGTTTTCTCAAGCATGGTTTCCAGCATCAGTAATAGCCTAACAGTAGACCAATCTGTCGGGGTATCACGGCAAACTCACAAGGGCTCCAATATCTGACATCTGTCAGGCTCCAGGCAAATGAGCAGCTTGAAGCTGTTCACAGTTTTAACAGGACTGCTCTGCATCCTTTTGATGACATCAGCTTCGCCAAGCTGAGTTTCAGGGTGGTTGCTGTGATAAAAAAGCAAGTACCATGCGAAAATGAATGTGAAAAAGGTTAATTGTGTCCAACAGGAGTTGAAGATTTAAGGAGTTATCCTAAACCACACTTCCTCCTAAAAACTTTTTAAAAAACCTTCAATATAAAGTGAACAGTATAATGTGCTAATACAATGAAAGTGCTGGAAGACATGCCCAGAAAGCCAATCAAAATTATATCCTATTGCAAAATAAGCTAAAAGATATTAAGAAAATGACATGGAGAAGGAAATGGCAACCCACTCCAGTACTCTTGCCTGGAGAATCCCATGGACGGAGGAGCCTGGTAGGCTACAGCCCATGGGGTCACAGCCCATGGGCCATGACTGAGCGACTTCACTTTATTTAAAAAAAAAAAAAAAGAAAATGACAAAGTAGTCTAAATTAGAAAACTTACAAATGCGGCAATGTGTAACAAAACACACAGCAGAAAGAAATGAGGAAATAAAGCTTGAGAGATAGTGGCAAATACTATGTACTAATTTAAAGCAAAGATGCAACATATGGATAAAAGGTTCTTGTAGCAGGAAAACCAATGCAAGGAAATGAAACACGTATTGATACTAAAAACTATAAAAACTCTTCAGAGTAAAAAGTTTCAATCATGCAAGATGAATTAAGTTCTGGAGGTTTAATGTATAGCAAGGTAGCTTCAGTTGAGGATACTATATCCCATACTTAAAATCCTCCAAGCGATCTTAGATCTTAAGTGATCTCACCCACCCCCCCCCAAACACACACTATGTGAGCAACATGTTAATTAGCTTGATTGAGGTAATTATTTCAAGATGTGTACAAATATCAATGGGCTTCCCTAATAGCTCAGCCGGTAAAGAATCTGCCTGCAATGCAGGAAACCCGGGTTCAATTCCTAGGTTGGGAAGATCCCCTGGAGAAGGAAATGGCAACCCACTCCAGTATTCTTGCCTGGAGAATCCCATGGATGGAGGAGCCTGGCGGGCTACAGTCCATGAGGTCGCAAGAGTCGGAAACGACTTCGCGACTTAACTAACTACTACAAATATCAAACCATCACACAGAACACCTCAAGTACATACAATGTTTGCTAATTATACCTCAATAAAGCTGAAAAAAAGGTCAGTGGTTTAAAAGAAAAATTATGAGGTTAAAAAAACATGTATCATGGACACAAACACACACATACCTGAGACTATCAACCCAGAATGACCAACACCAGCTGGACTGTAAAGAAACAGAAACAAATCCCTTGGACTCCAGGCCAAAAACAGCAAGTAACTTACAAGTTAGAGGATCAGACTTCAACTGTAATGTTTTTAGACCAGAAGAAAATGAAGTTACATATTTGAAACATGTCAGGCTTTATATATATGACTCATGGTATGTAAGCCAAGAATTTCACATCCAGCAAAACTGGAATACTGACTCTAGGAGCACTTCTTCCAGAAAATACTAGAGCAGGGGATGGCCAACTGCAGCCAGATGTACTTTGCAGTCCTTGATCTTGAGATGTTACACATACACACAAGCACACAACATGTGACAGGATCATTTCTGGCCCTCAAAGCCAAAATGTTTACTATCCGGCCCTTCGCAGAAAAGTCTTACCACCCCTGGAACTAGAGAACAAAAGCTTTAGACCAAAATGACCAGAGATACTGATATACGAACTGGTGGTGCTGTATTAAACATAGCAAATCAAGTCTAAATGAGGTTAAGACAGTACACTATCCACTGGCTATGTAATCCAAGAATGAGCCAAAGAGGATTTAGTACAACAAAATAAAAAAAGAACAAAAAGCTTGGGATAAGGGGTGGGGGTGGGACAGGGCAGGGACCAGAAAGAAGCAAGCATATTCAATTAAAAATTATTTGCAGTGATCATCATTAGTTACAGTAGAATCAGAATTGTTACTCTAGACTGCTTAAACTGGGTATTCTAATTTCATTATTCCCTGTTGTCCTTTTTTGGTTTGGGTTTTGGAAATGTATTTATAGGGCTGTTAGCTGGAAAACTCAAGGAAAACACATTCTTTTTTTTTTTTTCCATTTATTTTTATTAGTTGGAGGCTAATTACTTTACATCATTACAGTAGTTTTTGTCATACATTGAAATGAATTAGCCATGGATTTACATGTATTCCCCATCCCGGTCCCCCCTCCCACCTCCCTCTCCACCCGATCCCTCTGGGTCTTCCCAGTGCACCAGGCCCGAGCACTTGTCTCATGCACCCAACCTGGGCTGGTGATCTGTTTCACCCTAGATAATATACATGTTTCAATGCTGTTCTCTTGAAACATCCCAAAACACATTCTTATTAAAGCCAGCTCAGCTCAAAAAAAAGTCAGCTCATTTTGGTCCAATAGTGGATTACTATATCTTGTCATTCACCTTACTTGTGACTTTTGGAGGGTTTTCAAAAATTAAATCTACCACCTAAAGACAAAGGCTTTGCAGCAAAAAAGAGGAAGGACATACTGCAATGTGGCCATCAAAGCCCCAGTTTAAGTGCTTGGATTCTGAGTAAATCCAAAATTGGAGCCGACAAGTTTTGTTGATGACTTACTTGGATGTGGCCTATGAGAGAGCAGTCAAAAAAGTTTCCAAGATGGGTGGTTGAGCAACTACAAGGATGAAGCTGCCAATACAGGTTAGGAAAACTGGGTAGGGTTTGCAGAAAATAGTAGGAGTTTGGCAGTTAGGTAGGACTGATGTTCAGGAGAGAGGGGCAAACTGGAAACAGGTGGGAGATGTTTGTTGACAGATGGAGGACTGAGCTCTGGAGCAGGCAGACTACAGGTCTGTTTGCTAACAGGGTTGACACGTTAGAGGGAGAAACCCATCAAGCAGACTGCAGGCGTGACGGCGGAGGCAGCTGACAAGTCCTCCCCCTGAACCTCGGCGTCAAAACCAGCCATTTCAGTGCTCTGGAAGTAGCCCAAAGGCTTTTATCTGCAAAAGCTACTGGACCTTTAGTGTGTGAAAATTCACAAGGTCAACGTGGAGGGGTCAAGAGGAAACGCAGACTCTGACAAATAAATCTATTACAAATGCATGACAAATTCACAGAAGGGGGTTCAGGAAAAAAGGAATGGTGTCACTTTCGAAAACAGCTTTTAACTGCTCAAGACTAAAGGAAGTGCACTCAGGTTAGCAAAGCTGTTTCTCTTGGTGGGGGTGGGTGGGTGTCAGCAATTCCGAAAATGCTTTACATGGGTATGGCGGTTGAACAGATACAGTGAGTAATGGATGGTGGAAGTCTGATTTCTGTGAAAGAGGAGAGCTGCAGATAAATGAGGGAAGGCTTAGAAGGAATCATGTGGTACTGAGGTATCACACATCATCCAGATTTCATGTTTTGCTTACAGTACATGTAGATGTATAGACAAAGAGCTATTAGGGATGTCTGAGACACCTTTGGAGAAATGCAGGGCCAAGGTTTTCATAGCAACACTGAGGCATCCTTTCTCTGTCTTCGTTTGTTTTATCCGCAACTGTGAGGAAACGGCCGCTTTGTCAGCATTGACTCAGGCAGTGGCCCCAGGCTCCGGGAGGGGCCACTGTGCTCTTCACCATTATTCAGTTTTTAAATTGCCTGCTTTGCCCTGAATGTCCTTCAGTGAGGTGGCAGTAAGCACTTCTGTTAACTTGGAGCCCTGAAGACCCATCTTTAAATCAGACCAAGAGGAAAGCCCACATAAACACTTGTACTGCACATAAAATACGCTGCCTTAAGCAAGAGCACTCGGGTGAGTGTCTGGCCTGCAAAATGAACTCGCCTGTCTTCACTTCAAAGAACCAACAAACTTTAGTCAAGCACATATGGATACAAGGCAGACATTCATCCACTAAAATGTAAGAAGTGAGCCTGTCACTTTACGGAAAACAACTGACAGTATTTTTGCCCATGAGAAAAATTTCCCAGAGGAAATTTTGGAAAACATATTTGCCATCAGGAGCCTGACAAGTCCCCAGTACCTTTTAAACTTCTGACAAGATTGGCAGTGATAGTTAAGGTTATTTCTATACTGTATAACATCTGGAAGAGCCACATGACCTAGTTAACCACACTTCCCAAATAACCAATAAGATGTTCACTGATATGGTATCAGATTTGATGTTGCAAATAACTATTAACATAAGCTACCACAAAAGGCTACCCACAATTATTATAAAAGGCTATTAAAATAATTCTCTCCGATTATATAACCAGTGAGAGACTGGATTCATATCTTTTAACCAAAATATCACAACAGGCTCAATGGAGAAGCAAGTAGGAGGATGCAGACAGCTGTCATCCATTAAGCCAGACTTTCAAATGAAGAGATTTCCAAAACCGTCACATGGTGCCACTCTTTCAACTAATCTTTTTATTTGGGAAAAGAAAATGCTGGTCAAAAAGTAAAACCTAGACAAAAGCCAGGATGATCTGGGTACACACCTGAGACGCTGCTGGAGTTGACCTAGCCTGGGCCCAGCGAAGAGAAAAGCACCGCAAACCGAAAAGGGCTGACGTCGCAGGAAGGCCCCGTTCAAACAGCAGCCTCTGCTGCCGCCCGCTGGCCACTGTGCTCAAGCACCCCGGACAGCTTAGAGAACAATTCAGCAGCTAATTTCCACTGGTCTTAGAGACGCCTGAATAAATGTGGCCACCTTCAAAGTAGTCACGAGATTACCATCGAGCTAAAACAGCTTGGATGTTGGGTATGCAATATGTTTATTTAATACTTAATGAATAAATCGATGAAGATTCACAGTCCCCGTGGCTCACAGCTTCATGGATCAAGTTCAAGTGGCTCCCTTTTTCTTACTCTTATTTAAGTCACCCTTAATATTTAAATTACAACCCCTGTTCTTCACTCATTAGTTCCATGAGGATAGGGACTGTATCTGCCTTGTTTATGGACTCAAGGTAGGTCGCCTGGTTTTCCAGAAATCAGGGCTTCTCTCTTCACTAACCAGATCCTGAACAAATTATTTATCTCTGTGGCTCTGTTTCTTCATCTGGGGATCACCATGACCTACTTCACTGTGTTACTGTGAGGGTTAAGAGAGTTAAGCGAGCTATACCTAGTACAGCTATTTTGTTCTTTTCTTGCCGGGGTTTAAAGGGCAGCTATTAACATCTGAGAGCCAAGCATGTACCACACTTATCTTTCCAACGATCCAGCGAAGTAGGTATTGTATTCTCCATTTTATAGACACGAAGACTGACTGCACAATTGGCCAAGGATCTGGCCCTGGAGAGGGCTGCCTGCACCTCGGACCCCTGCTCATCAACATCTCCGATACTGCTGACCCAGAGTCAGGATGACCGGATGGAGCTGCGCCAGGGGCGCGCGTGGCATTAACAAAGGTCCAATTTCACCTCGTCCCTCTGCCCAAGTCACCGCCGTCAGGGCGCGCACACTGGCACAGCACAAGTGTCCAAAGCGGTGTAATAATGACCCGCTTTACTGGCACGTGACGTTACTAGAGGTATCAAGTGAAGGTCATGTCTCCCAACCCAGCGGCTCTATAAATACAAGCTCCTGGACACAGTGCGACAATCCCAGTGACCTTTCTTGCTAGGCAGGAGTCAGACACAAGAATACCCAACTGCGTTCTGGACAAAGCGGAGCTGTCCCTTCAGTCATGCCAGATTCATCTTGAAAATATAGCTAAGGAAAGAGAAATCCCTCCACAACGAATACATAGGTTAGCGTGTTAAAACTGGTGCTTGATTATGAGTGGGCTGGCCAAGCATTTGCACAAGCCAGACTTTTCCAGCAAAACGCTAGAAAACTGAAAAGGCAGAAACAAAGAATCTGGTGTGCCAGCTGCTCTGCACCAACTAAGACATCAGGTTTGGGTTACTACCTGGCGCCCATCATAACATTCCCAGGATGCTCAAGAGGTGGTCTGGGTCCACAGCTATGAATGGAAATACGGGGCTAAGGAGTGCTCTGCTATTCTTCCCTGGGGGTCAGAGGTCCACATACATCTCCCAGTGCCTGGTATGAGATGCCTATGGCTGCTGACATTTTTAAATGGTTGAAAAAGAAACTGTAATATTTCCTGACATGTGAAAATCATCCAAAACTCCAACCTCAGCATCCGTAAATAAGGTTTGTCCACACTACAGCAGCCGAGCTGAATAGCTATAATGGATATTTGGTCTATTAAGCCCAATATATACTAGCTGGCTCTCTACAGAGTTTGCAGACTCCTGCTCTAGATTGTGAATTGTACAGTCCATGTGTGCATACTTCGAAAGACTCCGTCATTTAAAACAGGGAAAAACTAACTTTCATATATAGATTTCCATAGCCTTGCTTGAATAATTACAGCACATGTAGGAAAAGAATCATCTAAAATGTGTAGCGACACTGGCAGCAGTTTTTAAATCTCCAGTCCAATGACTCATTTTTAAGATGGGAATTGATAAAGAATGTACAATAGCTCATCAGACATGAGGCCAAAAATACATTATTCTCCTTCCTAAGAGCTTTCTGGAATAAAGTACACACATGCATGTTTTTCTAAAGTCTGAAAGAATACGGGTAAAACCAGAAAGGATGCCACCAGTGGGCTTAAGAAACAATTCCAGGAAGACAGAGACAGGTTTGAATTAATAGAGAACCCAGAGTGGAGGGCAATGCAGTACAAACTACCAAAGGTAAATTAAATATGGCTTTTCCCAAGGGAGCTCTGAAGAAACCCAAAGCTAAGTCCACAAAGACAGAGGGCCATCGTTAGGGTCATTCTTTCAGCAATGGTATTTGAGACAGCTGCTAGCTCCCTCACTTCCCCTCTCAAGACAGAAGAGGGTGGCCTCTGCCAGCTGGAAAGTAGACTTCAGAGACGTGGAGACAGGCCCTGGAAGGGCTCCCAAGAGTGATGGACGGGCAGGGAGGCAATGCAGACCAGGCGCTAACCATGGACCTCAGGGATATTTCTGAAGGCGTGGCTGGAGGGGTGAGCTGAGCGTTGGCGAACACAGAAGGGAGCCTGCCTGCACTCCCCCACCCCCAAACCTCCCCAACTACAGAGAATGCAAACTGCTCTCCCAGGAGGAAAGGTCTGGGGTTGAAATATGCACACACAACTATATAGGACACAAAGTAAGACTAGGCTTCTATGAACAAAGGAGCAGAGAATGTCCAAAAATTATAAACAGCTGCAAAATAGGCATGTTCCAAAAAATCTCATGAAATATAAAGAGATAATTCTTTAAAAATGCAAGAGGAGCCACAGAGGGTGGATCCATATGGACAACAATCTGTCTAGCAGGAGGTTTAATAATATGAGAACAGGGAATTTGATAAAATAGTGATGAAAATCCAAGAAATAGAAATTTTCCTGGGCTAAAGAATGCTCTGTCCCTGGTGGATCAGTGGTAAAGAATCTGCCTGCCAATGCAGGAGACGTGGGTTCAGTGCCTGATCTGGGAAGATCCCACATGCCATGCTCAACTATTGAGCCTGTGCTCAAGAGCCTGTGAGCCGCAACTCCTGAAGAACTTGCACCCTAGAACCCCAATGTTCCGTTTTGCAACAAGAAGCCACCACATTGGGGAAGTCTGCAAATTGCGACTAGAGAGTACCCCCTGCTCTCCATAACTAGAGAAAAGCCCACACAGCAATGAAGGCCCAGCACAGCCAAAAAAAAAAAAAGAATGGTATGTCAGACTGAATGGGCTCATCTGATACTGAGACATTTATCCTGATAGAACTTCTGAACCCCAAGGACAAACAATCCTAAACTTCTAGAGGATAATTGGTACTGTCAAAGAGATTGACGTTCTGAGGCAAAATTAAAAGACATGTTATTTTTAAAAAATCATTTCTTGAAATTGTCATGAAAATTTTCCAAATAAAATTCAGAATGAACCACAGGAAAGAGAACTGTAGAGCACATCTCAGCAAATCTATTTGACCTGAAAGATCTGAAAGATGAACATGAAAGCAAAACATAAAGGAAACAGAAAATCATCATGTCCAGGGCATCACTAGGACATGCAAAATAACTTCTTCGTACCCTGTACTGGATGGACCTGCCCAAGCACTGGACGCTCAGAGTTGGGGGACAGGCTGGGAAAGGCAAAGGAAAACGATGCACAAGGCACTTCCTGGACACCCTACTGCAACTTTTCTTTACTGCTCCATGATTCTGGCTCCAGGTATCTCTGGACTTCTCAGACTACTCCATTCTGAAGGGAAAAAGCAGTTTTTACGCCATTCTGCACAATCCCTCATAATCCAATAGCCATCTCTACTGGAGACTAACTTCTGGGGACACTAGTTAAGAAACTTCTAGCAGGCTTCCAAGCATTTAGCAAAACAAGTGTCTCATTGGCTGTCTGCCCAGGCTATACATCAGAACTAGCAGATGCTCAAGACCCACTTGCAGAAACTAAAATTCAGATGATCTGAATTTGAGACGATCAGGCATTCTTTTGATAGTGTTAAAAGAAAAAAAAAGTACGGTCATCCCTCGGGGATGGGTTCCAGGACTCTCCTCAGATGTCCAAAATCTGGATGCTCAAGCTCCTTTTAAATAATGATGTACACCCTTGGTATCTGCATCTGGGGATTCAACCAACCTTGGATGAGGAACCCAGGGGGAAGGGGGGGGGGGACTGCATTTCATAAAGACACTTAAATCTGACAGGTATGATCTTTTCTTAGCCCTCTTTCTCCTAGACACTCCCCGACACTGACGCTGAATTCTGTGTAGCTGGTAGGTTTCAGTTGCTGCTTTGAGATCATGTAGAGACAAGAAGACAGCTAAGATTTTTGCTTGAGGTCTTATTCCTTCCTGTAGGAAGGCTGCTCTCCCCATTCTAAAACAGCAAATCCAGGAACTTCTTGCCTAGGACTCTGTGCTCCCAATGCAGGGGGCTGGGTTAGATCCTGGTCCCTAGGAACCAGATTCCACATGCCTCAACAAAGATTTCATGGACTGCACAGCCAAATATTTTTTTAAAAAATAACAAATTCAAAATTTCAGTTGTTTTTCATTGAAGTACAAGTGGGTTACTATGGAACTAAACACCCATGCGCATCATCCTTTTATTCAAATGTGATAACCATTCAAGTGTTAGCAAAGTCCTAGGAATCCTGATTAAAGAGTCATTCCCAACAGTAAATATACGCTGAGTGTCCCTTCCTCCTTTCAAGAACCAGAATATACCTGCCTCACTTCTAGCAAACACCAGAGGAAACTACCCAGTAGGTATTTTATCTGGAGTGAGTTGCCATCCCCTTCTCCAAGGGATCTTCCCGACCCAGGGGTCGATCCCCATCGCCGCTCACCCCTGTTCCCACACTTGCTTCCAGGCAAATTATCTCTGTTTGTCACCCTCCTCTCGTGCATTCAAAGTTTTTTCCCTAACAAATCCAGCCACACTCATTTCTTAATTTCCAATGCAATTAGTCATGATGTACTGTGTTCAGTAAAACTTATAGATCAGTTAATATCATGGTTTCTAATTCGAAAGCCCCCAGTAACTCACTGTACTTAAGCCCTTACCATTGAATGCTATGGGAAAACAAATACCATGGTTCTCCTACAAAGAAAACATATTTCTATAGAAGCCTGATAATTACAAGCTGTTGCACTTCTCTCTCATAAGCAGATTACTCATTGTTAAAGGACATACTAAATAAAACCACCTCCTCAAATGAGCTGGTATTTGCTTTTAAAATCATACCAAGAAAAAAAGCAATGTGTTCCAGTGGTGGAGAACAGTAACTCAGCCAACTCTTCATTATCTGAGGAGGTGGGATCTGGAGGATGGCATTTAGAAATCCACAGATGACAGCAGACCACATTTCATCCAGCAGAGTAACTGACAGCTGCTGCTTCTCTATGGGCCCTGTGATCCTTCCATGAGAAAAGGTCCCCTTTAAATTCTAATAACCCAGCATTTGATGACTGCAAAGGGGCTGCACTCACCTTTGCAGTGACATGTGACTGCCACAGGGTGTAGGTTATCAAGGAACTGATTAACAAATAGGGTCAACAATTGGGATTTAGCACCCCTCCCCCAAAATAAAGATTGGGGCTTCCCAGGTGGTGCTAGTGGTAAAGGAATCCACCTGCCAATGCAAAACACGTTAAGAGACTTGGGTTCTATCCTTGGGTCGGGACGATCCCCTGGATAAGGACATGGCATGGCACCCCACTAGAAGTCCCATGGACAGAGGAGCCTGGCGGGCTTATGACCCATAGGGTCCCAAAGAGTCAGACAGGACTGAAGCAACTCAGCGCACACGCACCCCAAAAGATGCTGGAGGGAGCAAAGTGTAGCTTTCAGTTCCTTGAAGACTTTCTCTAGCCAGATGTCTAAACCTTGAGGCCTGTAATAATCTGCTTTTTATTTATTGTTGTCATTCTGTTAAGTAATGTGGAACTCGGGACCCACCTGTAACGATTCTTTTTAATAAGTCTACAATAGGATCTATGAATCTTGGGAAACATTTGGCAAGGTACCTCTTCTCTCACCTTGCCAC